ACTTAGGTTGTTTCCAACTCCTTGCTATTGTGAGCAAAGCCTCGATAAACATGGGTGTGCATATATCTGCTTGGATGTCGTTTATGGTCTCTTTAGGGTATATTCCCAGTAGTGGAATTTCTGGATCAAATGTATCTCTATTTGCAACTTTTTGAGAAAGCGCCACACCGCTTTACACAGTGGTTGCACCATTTTACACTCCCACCAACAGTGAATAAGGGTTCCAGTCTCTCCACAACCTCGCCAGTATTTATTGCTAGCTGTCCTGTTAAATTTTGCTAGTCTTACTGGGGTGAGATGATATCTCATAGTTGTCCTAATTTGCATCTCTCTCAGGGCTAGGGATTTTGAACATTTCTTCATGTGCTTGTTGGCCATCTGAATGTCTTCTTTGGTGAAGTGTTTGTTCATATCCTGTGCCCATTTTTCTATTGGATTATTTACCTTTATCTTGTTGTGGTGCTCAAGTAATTTATAAATTCTAGATTGCTCTTAGTATTTGATTTATCAAACCATTATTGTTGTTGGGTGCCATCAAGTCCAATAGTACATCTTAGTTTTTTGTTGTGTTTTTTTTTTAAATTTTATTATTTTTGTGTGAGTGTACCGTCAAATCAGATCTGACTGGTACAGGAGGAGATTGTCCCTCCTTCCCTGGCAGAGCATCTGGTGGATTCAAACTGTGTGCCTCTGGGATTGTAGTTGCAGCTCCTTGCCACTAGGCCACCAGAGCTCCCTACACCTTAGTTTTTAAATTGATATTCTTGCCCTTTAGCATTTTAAGAGGCCCTTGACAGCAAACTTCCCCAATGTAACATACTTTTTGATTTCTTGCCTGCTTCTCTGTGAGTGCTGATTGTGGATGCAAGTAAAATGAAATCCCGGACAAGGTCAATCTTTTCTCCATCTATCATGATGTTGCTTTTTGGTCCAGTGGTTAAGATTTTGTAAGACTGTAGTCCTTGATCTTCTGCAGTAAGAGCTTCAAGTCGTCTTCAGTTTCTGCAATCAAGGTGTGTTGTTTGTATAGCATAGGTTCTTGGTTAGTCTTCCTCCAGTCATGTTGCCATATTATTCTTCATATTCAGTTTCTCAAATGATTTGCTTAGCGTACAGATTGAGTGAGTATGGAGAAAAGGATACAACGTTGATTCACACCATTCCTGATTTTAAACATAGGGTGTTCTCTTGGTCTGTTTAGACAGTTGCTTTTTGACCTACATATAGGCTTGACTTGAGCATAATTAAGTGTTCTGGGATTCCCATTCTTCTCAGTGTTATGAACCAGAGAGTCCAGTGCTTTTGCATAGTCAATAAAACCAAAAGTAAGCATCTTTCTGGTATTCTCTGTATTCAGCCAAGACCCATCTGACATCAGCAATGATGTTGCCCTTTGTTCCGTGCCCTTTCTGAATCCAGCCTGAATTTCTAGAAGGTCTCTGCAAGTTTCCCAGAAATTTTAAATAATCTTCAGCAAGATTTTAATTGCATATGACATTAATGATATTGTTTGGTAACATCCATAGTCTGTTGGATCCTCTATTTTCCAGTGGGAACACATGGAGATCTTTTCCAGTCAAATGGCCAAGTGACTATCTTTCAGATTTCTTGGCATAGACTAGTGAGCACACATTCAAGGCTTCATCTGTCCACTGAAACACTTCAATTGCTATTCCATCAATTCCTGGGACCTTATTTTTAGTCGGTGCCTTCAGTGTAGCTTGAATGTCTTCCTCTTTACCACTGACTCTTAATCAGATGCTACCTGCTGAAATTGTTCAATGTCTACCAATTCTTTTTGGTACAGTGAATGTGTATTCCTTCCATCTTTTTTTGATTCTTCCTGTATCATTCAGTATTTTGCTCATAGAATTCTTCTGCATTGCAATTCAATGCTGAAATTTGTTCAGCTCTTTCAGCTTGAGAAATGCCGTGTTCTTTCTTCCCTTTTGATTTTCTAACTCCTCTTCTCTGCACATTTTGCTGTAATACTTTGCTTTGTCTTTTTGAGCTGCCCTTTGAAATTAGACCATAGGGGTAATTATATAGCTTCCACATCATATCATTATTAACATATATTTTGGAAGGACAGATTTTAATACATGATAATAAATTCTTCACCCCAAAAAATTTGTGACCCTGTCAACATGCAAAACAATTTCACCCCATAATATCACAAAAGTCTTAAGTCCAAATTCTATCTGGCAATAAAATTCCTTTTCATCTAGGAACATAGATAGATAGTTACCCACTTTTAAAGTACAATGTTACAAAACCTAAAGACATAAAAAATGATCCACAGGAAAAATGGGAGGGAAAGAAAGCACAACAGAGAGCAAGCAAAGTTAAATATCCAGCAGATCCAGGCTACTTTACATTAGCCGTCATAGTTTAAAACAGCCCTCACTTTTGCCAAGGTCCTGGTGACTGCCCTCCAGTCTCTGGGCATTGGCTATTTTACTTGGTGCTCAGGATAGAGGCCTTCCAGGCCTACTCGGAGAGCATCTCTGCTCCCTTGGTTTTGAGTTGCCTCATTTCCCTGGTCCAGCTGAGTCATGACTCTATTTCCTTGATTCCTTTAGCCATGATAACCCTCCCCCCTCAGCTTTACGTAGCAGCCCTATATGAAAGGCAGCTCTAGAATGTTGAGGAATGAATGTTGAGGAGGAAGTTGGCAAAAAACTTAATTCCTTGGAACCTAGAAAACTGTGATGTCCACATGA